TATGAGAGAGACGAGAATATTTATTTCAGCTTGCTCTATAAAATATTGTTTAGGGTTCTAATGTTAACATAGCCATGTTATAGGTTGAGTAGAGGTTTTTCTTTCTCCAGTACTAAAGGTAGACAGGTAGTAAGGGTTACCTTGCTCAGTCCACAGGGAGCCCTCTCTTTCAAGGTTTCCCAGTTGAGGAATACCCTCCTTCAGTAGGAGACTGACAACCAGAATGACCACATTCTTCAAGGGAGGCCATTGCTCAGCAGATTGAAGAGACCCCCTGCCTAATAGCCACTATTAATATCAAATTACTGGCCTAATAATAACTGTAATATTCATTCAAGAAAAATTAATACTCAGCTCAGAATTGTGAGCGACTTAACACATCTCTATATAGGTAACTTTCAAATCTATATTTCTAGCTCAAACTTATTCATTCTTTCTCTCGTTTATCCAGTCAACAAATAATAATATGTTTATTGGGTATATTGTGAAGTTTTGATCCGTGTATACATTGTAATAAGATTCAGTCAAGCTAATTAACATATCCACCACCTCACCAACTTATTTTTTGCGGTGAGGACATTAAAAATCTATTCTTTTAGTAATTTAAAATATACGTTATTACAAACTGTGGCCACCATGCAGGGCAATAGATCAGTAAAACTTACTCCTCCAGTCTAACTGAAACATTGTATCCTTTGATCAACCTCTCCCTTTCCCCATTCCTCTTTCACTGTCCTTTCCTCCCAGCTTCTACTTTCCCACCTTTCTACTGTTTCTATGAGATTGACTTTTTTAGATTATAAATGAGATCATACAGTATTTGTCTTTCTGTGCCTGACTTATTTCATTTGGCATAATTGTCCTCCCGTTTCATCCATATTATTGCAAATGACAGAATTTCTTTCTTTTTTAAGGCTGAACAGTATTCCATTGTGTACATATGCCACATTTACTTTATCAGTTCATTCACTGATGGACACTTAGGTTGCTTCTGTATCTTGGCTATCATGAATAATGTATTCAGTCAATGTTTCTTGAGCACCATTGTGCTAGGGGGCAAACAAGACAGACATGACACTGACCCTCATGGAACCTGCATTAACAGAGGTAGGCAGACATTAAAAAATTATGAGTTGGTAAGTACTATAAAGGAAGACTGCAGGGTATTATGGGTGGTCTATAAGAAGATCTAACTTAATTGGGTTGATTGGGGAAGGCTTCCTGGAGGAAGTGACATTGAAGTGTGACTTGAAGGATGAACAGCCAGCCAGGCATGTTGAGGTGTGTGTGTCAGATTAAAAGGAGGAGCAGGGAAGAATACTAAACAGAGGGCACAGCATATGCAAGGAATGCTAGGAGCTTAGACAGGGGAGAGGTCGACTTGAAATGAACCTGCCAAAGAGGTCAGGAATTAAATCATGCTGGGCCACGTTATGACTTTCACACCTCTATTCTTAGAGCAGTAGGAAGCCATGGAAAACAGGAAAGGACATGATCACATTTGTATTTGGGTGAGAGTAAATAATAAGAATAAGAATAAGAATAAAGGTAGCTAAAACTACAGTTCTTATGGGCCAGGCGCTGTTCTAAGTGCTTTTCATACATTAATTAATATGCACTTCACACAAACCCTATGAATCAAGTGCTGTTTTGGTGCCTAAATTATAAGTGAGGAAACTGAGGTATGCAGATAGATTATCTAACCTGTCCAAGATCATACAACTAAGAAGTGGCAGAGCCGAGATGTGAGGAGACCAGTCAAGATGCTGTTTAGAATTACTAGCAAAAGGTGCTCAGGGCTTGGACTGGGGTGATGACAGTGGGGAGGCCTTAGGGTAATAGGGTTAAGATAAACATGGACTGTGAAATTTATAGGACTTATATCCAAAGCACTACATTTCTAATTGCCTCTACATTTCAACTTGACTCTCTTGCTGTTGCCTCAATTTTCTACCAAAACCCTTTCCCACCTATTTTTCCTATTCTTGTTATGATATCATTATTTCAGTTATTCAGACCCAAGCCCTCAACGTAATTTTTTTCTTTCTTTCTCTCCCTTCTTGTCAGTGAGTGAGCAGTCACAAAGCCCATGCCAGTTACCTTTTGCAAAGTCTTCACAATTTACCTGTCATTCCCATCCTGATGTCTTGCCTATGAAAAGTTTGAATGCAGGTCTATTCATGCAGAAGGCTAGTGACAGACTTTCTCAGCTGAGCCCAGCAACTTCATCTTGATCCTGGATCCGACCCTCAGCTGCACCAACTGGGAAAATGGGTTTGGGGAGCACACCACCTTAACTATGAGATAGGAATGGTTTAAGATATGATAGAAAAGGACAGGAGGGAGAGCTAATGGGACGAGAAAAAGAGAAATAATCACAGCTAGGAGAATCTGAAAAATCTGGTTTCCTGGAAGCCAAATTCCTGCTAAGGTCATACTCTAGCTCATAGGATTTCCTATTGATCAAAATGCCTTCTGCTTTTCTCTGGCTGAAACATTAGTGTCCCAGGTTTTACTATCAAGACAGGATAATGACATACAAATATTTACTGATTAAATATAAATATAGAAAGCACTGAGAGTCTTTCCAAATGGAGGGAATAGCATACTCTCTAGTTCTTATATTTGTTTTCCTGTTTTATTACACCCATGTATTGAATCTATGTATCGGTTATTTTATTTATACTATCTCAGTTAATCTTCAGAATAATCCTACAAGATAGGTATTAATATTCATCCCTCCTTCCTTTCCAAGTGAAAAAAATGGAGTCAGAGAGTTGCAGTGATTGATCAGAGGTTACACAGTTAGAAAGTGGCAGAGCCAGAATTCAGATTGGGCTATGTCTGACCCTAAAGCCTATGTTTTAGCCACTACAACCCACTGCCTCTCAGAGCATAGAGGCATAGGATTCTTTTTTTTTTTTTTTTTTCCTTTTTGTCTTTTTTCGTGACCGGCCACGGATCGCAACCCTCAGTGTGGCGCCCGTACCGGACCAGGACCGGCTACGGGATCGCAACCCTCGGTGTTGCTCCCGCACCTCGCTCAGCCAGTGAGTGGCCGGTCTGCACGTGGGATCCGACCCCTCGGCGGGAGCGCCGCCGTGCTTCCCAAGCGGCGCACTGTAGCAGTGCGCCACCGGGCTGGCCCGAGGCATAGGATTCTTAAAAATATATTCTTAGAAATTTTAACATCTTAAGCTTAGAATTGAAAGCAGTGATGTGTTTAATGAATATTCTCTGACAGTCTATTTAAGGTCAAGGAATTTGAAAATGGCATTTTATGTTGAAAATATCCTCTAAACTTTCTCTTACTGGGTGGTTCTATGACATTATTTCAGTTGTTTTGACTCCAAGTAAAAAGAGAAGATGGTCAATAAATGCCCTTGTATACATGTAAGGACCACAGTTAGTGAAGCTATTGCAGTATTGTTCATGTGGGTCTGTAGGGTTTGAAAACAATCTTTTCTGCCCATTTTAGGGAGGAAGTCATTATTATTTTTTTGTTTTTTGTTTTGTTGTTGTTTTTGTTTCTGTGTTTTTGTTTTGTTATATATATTTTTCAGAAGCTATGCATTTTATTTAGAGATGCTTAGACACAAGGTATAGTTTATAAAAATAAATTCTTATAAAAAATTAATGACATTATCAGAGATATTTCTATAGTAATTATCTGACTCTGGATTTCATTATAAATGGCTTCTATACGTATGTCCAATCATTTCTTGTGCAGTGCAGTGTGAGACTATTAAATTCTATTTACTTGACTAACAGCTAATCTAGGCATAAATATAAAATAAATCAGTCAGAATAATAGAGGTGAAAAATATAATGAAAGAGTAAAATGTGCTTAAAGCAAACAAGTACGTGTTAGTGTGTTTATAAGTTGCTTCTATTATAAACAAATTAATTGCTAAAATGCACTCTTACACTAACATGGTGATTATGATTATAATTTTAGCTCTGCTTTTATGGCATATAAAAATAACTATTAAAATTGGTACGAGTTAATTGGCTGACACAAGAATGGTAAATAATAACTCTGGTATATTTATATTTCTACTTTTTAAAGCTATACATATACACATTCAAATGTGTTACATACATGTGAAACATAATTCCTGTAGCTGCCACATTTTTGTATTGCTAGTAATTCAGATTTCCTCCCTACCTAGTACTCTATCAAAAAAGTTGTTTAAATAAAAAACTGAAACAAAATCCTGTGCCACTTCTGATGTAAACTAAAATCAGTTTATGTAGATCAGCTTTTGTATCAGGAAGCCTTTCTTGCCTTGTCCCTATCAGGTAATAGTTACACAGTTTATTTCAAGGGTTTAAATAAGAAAACCCAAAGGTTCTTCTTTTCTAAGCCTTCCCTTTCATTTAAAGTAAATTTCTCTCTTGAAGTTATATGATGCAGAGGTGAGGAACATGGATGCTGGAATCCTACTGGCTGCATTGAATCCCAGCCCTGCCACTTTCTGACTGTGATCTATGGCAGGTTACATAGTCCCCTGTGTTTCATTTTCCTCATGGGGATGATAGCAATGCTTGTCTCATAGGGTTGCTGTGATGATGAAGTAAATAAATTCTAGTGCCTTAAATACAGAAAGCACTATATAAATAGTCATTATTATTGTACAACTTAAGTTTTACTTAATGTTTATTTTATTAAAGTACAATATGCATGCAGAAAGGTACTCATAAGTGTTCAGCTCACTAAAATTTTCAAAGCTGAACAATCCTGTATAACCAGCACGTAAATTATAAAACAGAAACAAGTACCCCAAAAGCCTTCCTCATGCCCACTTCTAATAACCAGCACTCTCTAGCAGTAACCAATATCCTGACTTCTGATTAGTTTCAGTAATGGCTATTTGTTAAGCCTTGATATTACAGCAATTGATAAAGGATCTAGTGTAGAAGCATTTTGTTGTTTGTTTAATATCTAAGACTTAAGCCTATTTGCTGATGAGTCTTTTAACATACATTTTGTTTTTTAGATTGAAAAAGCTCCTTGAACAAGAAAAGGCTTACCAAGCCCGCAAAGAAAAGGAAAACGCTAAGCGGCTCAATAAACTAAGAGATGAGCTTGTCAAACTCAAGTCCTTTGCACTCATGCTGGTGGATGAAAGACAAATGCATATTGAGCAACTTGGCCTGCAAAGCCAGAAAGTACAGGATCTTACTCAGAAATTGAGGGAAGAAGAAGAAAAGCTCAAAGCCATTACTTCCAAATCCAAAGAAGACAGACAGAAATTGCTCAAGTTGGAAGTGGATTTTGAACACAAGGCATCAAGGTTTTCTCAAGAGCATGAAGAGATGAATGCTAAATTGGCTAATCAAGAGTCTCACAACAGGCAACTTAGACTCAAGTTGGTTGGGTTAACTCAAAGAATCGAGGAGCTAGAAGAGACCAACAAAAATCTTCAAAAGGCAGAGGAAGAACTTCAGGAATTAAGAGATAAAATTGCCAAAGGGGAATGTGGAAACTCTAGCCTCATGGCAGAAGTGGAAAATCTCCGAAAGCGCGTGCTTGAAATGGAGGGTAAAGACGAGGAGATCACTAAAACTGAATCCCAGTGCAGAGAATTGAGGAAGAAGCTTCAGGAGGAAGAACACCATAGTAAGGAGCTCAAACTTGAAGTTGAGAAGTTACAGAAGAGAATGTCTGAACTGGAGAAGTTGGAAGAAGCATTTAGCAAGAGTAAATCTGAATGTACCCAGCTACATTTAAATCTGGAGAAAGAAAAGAACTTAACCAAAGATCTGCTAAATGAATTGGAGGTGGTCAAGAGTCGAGTTAAAGAACTTGAATGTTCAGAAAGTAGATTGGAAAAGGCTGAATTAAGCCTAAAAGATGATCTTACAAAGTTGAAGTCATTTACGGTGATGCTTGTTGATGAAAGGAAAAATATGATGGAAAAAATAAAGCAAGAAGAGAGAAAAGTGGATGGACTCAATAAAAATTTTAAGGTGGAACAAGGAAAGGTTATGGATGTAACTGAAAAACTAATTGAAGAAAGCAAAAAGCTTTTAAAACTGAAATCTGAAATGGAAGAAAAGGTATACAATTTGACAAAAGAGAGGGATGAGTTGATTGGCAAACTGAAAAGTGAAGAAGAAAAATCCTCTGAATTAAGCTGCAGTGTTGACTTATTAAAGAAGAGACTTGATGGTATAGAAGAGGTGGAAAGAGAAATAACAAGAGGAAGGTCTCGAAAAGGACCTGAGCTCACCTGCCCAGAAGACAATAAGATTAAGGAACTAACACTTGAAATTGAGCGACTGAAGAAACGTCTCCAACAATTAGAAGTGGTCGAAGGGGATTTAATGAAGACGGAGGATGAGTATGATCAACTGGAGCAGAAATTTAGGACTGAGCAGGATAAAGCTAACTTCCTCTCTCAACAACTAGAGGAGATCAAGCACCAGATCGCCAAGAACAAAGCAATAGAGAAAGGTGAGGTCGTGAGCCAGGAAGCTGAGCTAAGACACAGATTTCGGTTGGAAGAAGCTAAGAGTCGAGACTTAAAAGCCGAAGTGCAAGCTCTGAAAGAGAAGATTCACGAATTAATGAACAAAGAAGATCAGCTTTCCCAGCTCCAGGTAGATTATTCTGTCCTTCAACAGAGATTTATGGAAGAAGAAAATAAGAACAAAAGCATGGGGCAGGAGGTCCTCAGTCTGACCAAAGAGTTGGAGCTCTCTAAGCGCTACAGCCGAGCCCTTCGCCCCAGTGTGAACGGAAGAAGAATGGTGGATGTGCCGGTGACGTCCACAGGGGTGCAGACCGACGCGGTCAGCAGCGACGCCGCGGAGGAAGAAACGCCCGCTGTGTTCATTCGCAAGTCCTTCCAAGAAGAAAATCACATCATGAGCAATCTTCGACAGGTGGGACTGAAAAAACCCATGGAGCGATCCTCTGTTCTAGACAGGTATCCTCCCGCTGCAAATGAGCTCACCATGAGAAAGTCTTGGATTCCATGGATGAGGAAAAGGGAAAACGGCCCGTCAATCACTCAGGAGAAAGGCCCTCGCACAAACTGCAGTCCAGGGCACCCGGGAGAGCTCGTCCTCTCGCCGAAGCAGGGCCAGCCCCTGCATATTCGCGTGACACCAGACCACGAGAACAGTACTGCGACTTTGGAAATAACGAGCCCGACATCTGAAGAGTTTTTTTCTAGTACCACCGTCATTCCTACCTTAGGGAATCAGAAACCAAGGATAACCATTATTCCATCACCAAATGTTATGTCTCAAAAACCAAAAACTGGAGATACTGCTCTTGGCACAGAACGAGCCATGTCCCCAGTCACAATTACTACATATTCCAGAGAGAAGACCCCAGAAAGTGTAAGAGGCACGTTTGTGGACAGGCCTACATCCCCCATTCAGATAATGACAGTGTCTACATCAGCAGCACCAGCTGAGATTGCAGTTTCTCCTGAATCCCAGGAAATGCCCATAGGAAGGACTATCCTCAAAGTCACCCCGGAAAAACAGACTGTGTCAACTCCAATACGGAAATACAATGCCAATGCCAATATCATAACCACGGAAGACAATAAAATTCACATTCACTTAGGTTCTCAGTTTAAACGATCCCCTGGGACTTTAGCTGAAGGAGTAAGTCCAGTCATTACTGTCCGACCACTCAACACGACAGCTGAAAAGGAGGTTTCCACTGGCACCGTCCTTCGGTCCCCCAGGAACCATCTCTCTTCACGACCGGGTGCGAGCAAAGTGACAAGCACTATCACCATAACACCGGTCACAAACTCATCCACCCGAGGAACCCAGTCGGTGGTGAGTAGAAGAGGTTCCAAAGTGCAAGCCAGTGGAGGGAGGGAAAAGTGAGCGGTGAGACTAACCCAGCACTCATAGTAAAACAAAACCATATGCCTCTTGCTCTACCTGAACCCACCAACAGATGTTTCCTAGAACACTGTCTACGCAGACCTAATATTTTGATAATTTGGGCCAACTTTGAGGGAAAATTTCATTTATTTATGTCAATTATGAAGACCCTTCAAAATACTTGCAAAGATGGCCTCTTTGAGATGGTAGCCAGTTTTAAAATTCATACAGTAACTATTGATAGTCATCTTTGTACCACACAAATATGTATAATAAATTATATTTCAATAAAAAAATTCAATTTTTATGTTTAAAGTACTTTTTAAAATGGAGACTGGGGGAAATGGTCAACATGAAGAAAGAATTAAAACCATTACTAGGTTATATTTCCATAATCTAAAATATTCGATATGTGATTATGCATGGCCATAGTATACTGTATTCCAAAAATAAGATTAAAAGATTTTAATACAAAAAAACTTTTTAAAAGTAAAAAGGAAGTATTTGTATGTCTAAAAACTATATTTCAAGTAATCGTATCTTGCGTCGGGCCGGCCTGTGGCTCACTCGGTAGAGTGCGGTGCTGATAACACCAAGGCCACGGGTTCGGATCCCATATAGGGATGGCCGGTTCGCTCACTGGGTGAGCGTGGTGCTGACAACACCAAGTCGAGGGTTAAGATCCCCTTACCGGTCATCTTTAAAAAAAAAAAAAATCGTATCTTGCGGAGAGAAGGTGTTTCATAAATATTTATGTAACAACTTGCTGGAAGGCAAATGAATGATTATAAAAAAGCACAACCAAAGTACAAAAATCAGAGCTTAAAAATTAATTCTGTTTTTCAAAACACTTCCAGTGATTGTCTTCGTTTGTTGGGGAGAAATTGGTAAATGTAACTAGAGAAGAATATGTGCTATTTAGATATTAATTTCAGCTAATTAAATTATGATTCCTAGACTGAACAAATTCTACAGCATATATTAAAATCTTTTAAGTAATACAGGAAACTCATAATTTAAGCATAGAAACTGTGGCTTAATTTCCCATATCCTCAATATAATTTACTTTAATTCCCTGAGCACGTAGACTCAAAACAGACATCAAAATATGAATTACTCATTGCTTTGCCAGTAAAGCTTTTAGTTATTGGCTCTATAGGAGCCAAGTAGCATTCACCCTTCTCAAATGGTTCAATACTGCATTTTAGGCAACACAGAGCAAAACTTGGTTGTTCAGGGTCCTGCTTCTTTCTGCTGCATTTTATTAAAAAAAATAGTGAGGTGTAAACCATTGTAACTTAGAGCAGATTTTCTGCTGTAACATATTCCCATTTTAAGGGTCAGATCAAGATAGCCTTACCGTTTGTAGCAACATTTTTGACTACTGATTTAAACCCCATACACAAATAAGATTTCAAAACAAGTATCAAAGCTTTCTAAAGCCTGAATGATGGCCCACTTATTTTAGGTATATCAGATTCCATAAAATCACGGACAACAAAAGGTTTGAGACACCCCTCTTAAAATTTAAACAGTGAGGCTAGTTCATTTGTGCATTTATTCATTCAACATTTGTTGAGTGTCAGCTACACTTTAGGCATGGGGTTAGGGGCTGTCATGCAAAGAGGACTTTAGAAGTTCTTGACTTAGTGGGAGAGGCAGGACTGGAAGGTACTTAGTGGTTCCATGACAGAGGTATGTGCAGGGGAACCACCAGAGAATGCTTCACAGAGGAGGAGGTTTTTACAGATGAGGGATTTTCAAGAAAGAGAAGGGAAACGGTATATTGACAGAACAGCATGTGCAAAGGCATGACAATGGGAAGGAGCCTGTCATGTTTGGGAAATGGCGAACTGTCCCATTGTGCTGCTGCAGTTGGGCATGGGAAGAAAATGCAAGAGCAGAAAATGGAGAAGTGAACTGGAGTCAGATATAGAAAGGAGGCCCATGTCTTATTATGAAATTGACATTTATTTTATCTTATTTTAAATTCAATTTTATTTATTTTTGTGGGGCACAGTGTCAATACATGCATACCCTGCACAATGATTCACTTAGGGTAGACAGCATAGTTTTTTCCCCATTAGTTCATCCCTGATCTTCCCCCCAACCCCTACTCCTCCCAGCCTCTTGGTAACCATTATTCTACTCTCCACTATTTTTTTTAAACATGCAAAGATTAACATCCTTATTGTGACAGGATCTCTTAAAAATGATTTAGAAAAATCTAAGCAGAAATTTGGTGAAGGACATCAGCAGATAAGTCACACATCCCAAAGAAACACCCATGGTTGGTAAGTACATTCTAGAATGTGATTTCAGGCAGGGCCAGGGTTGGCCCAGCCACCGTCTCAGGATCCCCTGTGTGGCTGTTTCCATTTCTGGACTGGATGTTCAGCAGGGATGGGGCTAAGGCCCATGGCCCCTGTCTCCCAGGTCCACCTGAGCACTGGGCTGGCTCTCTAGCTGGCCTGGATGTGCAGTGGTAGGGGTGGGGCTAGGGCCTATGGCACCTGTTGAAATTGACATTTAATCTCATAGAGTAGTTAAAGGGAGCCACTGAAAGGGTAATGATCATGAGAAAAACATTACATTGATTATGTTTTAGAAAGATGTCTAGAAAATAGTTTAAAGGATAAGTTGGAGGGAACAGAGCCTAAGGACAGGGCTGCTGTTGCAATTCTCGAGGCTAGAGATGATGTAGCCTTGAACTTTGGTAGTGAAAACAAGGACAAAGATACATTGAAGATAAAATTGAAAAGATTTCATGACAAATTGAGTATAGAGGATGACTCTGGGGTTTCTGCTTTGGCTGTCTGGGTGAATAGGATGAGAAATATAGGGAGACTAACTGTTTGGGGAGGAGATAAGGAAAATTTGGGGCATGCTATAGCTGAGATGCTTGGGGGACACTGAAAATGTCCAACAATTAGTTAGAAATACAGATCTGCATTTCAGGAGAGTACTGAAGCCTAGAGGCCTTAGGGCTTGGACCCATGGAGTAATAATGAAGGCAATTCTCAGGGAGAATGTAAAAAATTAAAAGAGGGTTGAGAATGGAAAATGGCAACATTCAAATTTAGAAGGCTGGCAAGGTAGAACAGGGAGCCAGTAAGAATGACAATGGGAACTTCTAACGTCCTCTTTGCATGTCAGTGCCTAACCCCATACCTAAAGTGTAGCTGACACTCAACAAATGTTGAATGAATAAATGCACAAATGAACTAGCCTCATTGTTTAAATTCTAAGAGGGGTGTCCCAAACCTTTTGTTGTCCTTGACTTATGGGATCTGATACACCTAAAATAAGTGGGCCATTATTCAGGCTTTAGAAAGCTTAGCAGAGACAGGAGGTAAATTGGTAAGACTCATATAACAAATCACAGCAAGCGAGTGTCAGGAGCACTTTAAGAAAGAAAGTGTGTCCAGAGTGACAATAAAAAATGAGGAGTCTGAGGTCATTTTATCTGAAATGGAGGAAAGGAGGAAGAGTGGAGATAATTTGGAAGACAATAGGAGTAAAGGTGCCTGAGTTTTTTTCTGGTGGCCTATATTTTCTCTGTGAAATTGGAGTTAAGACCATCTTCAGTTAGAGTAGGGGAGGTAGGTTAGTGCTTGAGAAGAGAAAGTTTAGCACGGATGTTTCAAAAGAGGGGATAGGGAGGTAATCAGAGGGGATAAGATACCAACTCCAAGTCTCGTTAATTTTTTTTTTTTTTTTTTTGGCAGCTGGCTGGTACAGGCATGGAATCCTGGACCTTGGTGTTATCGGCACCATGCTCAAACCAACTGAGCTAATCAGGGGAAGGGTTATCTGTGGTGTTCCCGGTCCAAACAATAGTTCTGCTACTATTCAGTTTGATGGCATATCCAGGGGGAACTCACCGACATTTCCCTTGTGTCTGTATTTTCTCTCTTACAGGCAGGACAAGACGGGTCATCCCAACGGCCTACACCCACCCGCATTCCTATGTCAAAAGGTATGAAAGCAGGAAAGCCAGTAGTGACAGCCCCAGGAGCAGGAAATCTGACCAAATTCGAGCCTCGAGCTGAGACTCAGTCTATGAAAATAGAGCTGAAGAAATCTGCAGCCAGCAGCGCTACCTCTCTTGGAGGGGGGAAGGGCTGAGGGCAGTGGCTAAGGGGGTATGTTGTGCAGATGCTACTGCTGCCGTGAAAACGAACCTTCCTGTGTTTGTGCCAACTCTTTACATGGACTAATTTAAGTTTTAAATACCTTGTTTATAAAATAACCAACTAATAGCCATGTGTCTTTCCTATTTTGTGAATTTGTTTTGATGCTGGAGAACAGAACTAATTAGCAAAACTACTGTTTGGCATGTGGTTTGTTGAGAACACAGTGCCTGGCTTCTAGTCCCGGCTTTGCTTCTAGCAAGTGGACCTATCAATTAACCCATCTGAGCCTCAGTTTCATCAGTATGATGTGGGAGCTGGATCACATGCTCTCCAAGGCTGGCTCCCATTTTTCCTAATTTAACAGGCCTTGTTCCACAATAATTTTTTTATTTTTCAAAAATTTTATTATGAAATAGGACATAGTTTAACAATTGTCATTTGCCTCTATCAAATCCTGAATTTGCTTTATGTGCTGGAAAAAAACATCTCATACCTATTGCAGGGCTTGAACCTCTAAAATTTTGCAAAAATGAAAGCCTCTAAGATGATTTCAGAAAATAATTTGAATAAAATTAATAAAAATTAATAAAATTCAAATGAAATAAAGTAAAATTAAATAAAATTAATAAAATGCAAATGAAATACAGAATCCTAAAAACAGAGTTTTACTTATTTGTGTGTGTCTGTGTGTATTGTAGAAGTTTTGGCCACTTCCAAAAGATTCCCAGAATTTCTTAGACAATTTTAGAACCATTAATGTCAGACTAATGCTCTATTCAAGTGTACAATTGATTTTAATTGTGGAGCAGTTTGAATAGAGCTGCCAAATGGCCCTTTATAGCTCAACAGAGATTGTGATGGATAGAAAATAGTAGAAAGTAAATTCTGATACATTAATGCCAAGAAAAAAATGCTGTCATGCATAGATTAATTGATTTCAAATATTTTCCTCAGTTAAGTGTGAACCTGACTTGCAAATGTAGAACCAGTTCATGTGTGCGTGCGTGTGTGTGTGTGTGTGTGTGTGAGGTGTGGAGAAGTGGATTATCATTCCTTTCAGTTTTACTTGTGTTTGAATCATTTTCTTTAATTTTCAAGCATGTTTTAATAAGCATGAAACAGAGTGTGAATGCAAAATGCCAGGTGTAAATGTGAGATTAACCATGTTAAAGTGGACATTGTGCTTTGTAGTCACATAACCACATATGAGCTCAAGGCTAGTAACCCACAGCTTGGCACACAAGGTCACATGCAGGCTGCACCTTTGCCAAAATTTTTCATTCAATTGGGTGAACTTTAAAAAAATACAATAACAGAGTTACAGGTTTTTATTTTTCTATTTCTAAATTGTGAGGGTTCCAAAATTATATGGCTATCACCTGCTTTTGATATTTGGAAAAAGGCAGATTAAAAAAAAAAAAGATGTGTAATTAGTCTTTAGCTCATGAATCAACATGTCTCATGATAAAGAAGCTCTTCTCTGAGTTATCTTCCATGCTGGATTTTCTATCCCTTTCAGAACTTGGACTTGAATTATATGTAGCGTTGGTAGATGTAGATTCCTTATAGTATTCATGTTCACTTCAATCAGATTGCTGTTGCCCACCGCTCATCAAATAGCATATGCATTAAAAAATGTTGAGCAACCATGTTAAAGAAATACCATAATAATGAAATTTCAAGGTTGAAGGAGAGAGACCAAGAAAAAAATACCATTTATGAAACATGATTTTGGACAAGTTTAAACAAGAGAGCTTGCCATTTAGAATACTGACTTGCATTTTCTTAAAAGGGGATTTTTTTTTCTGTTTCAAAAAGTGGACATCCAACCCTTTCAAAAACAAGAACATTCTCTGTTTTTACTAATGCCTACCTGGCATTTGTGAAGTATTTAGTGTTACTGTACCATAACATATTGTATTTGAGCAAACGAGGATGTCGAACCAAACACTGCATTCTTTCTTGACTCCACCTGCCAGAACCAAATGCTGCATTCTATTTGACTCCACCTGCCATTCTTCAGTGACTTTCATCATAATCTTATTGTCACTTGCTGCTGTTTTTGCTTTTACCTGCTCACACCATGCTTCCATCATTTCCTCCTGGAAGTCTACTCCATCTGCAGGGAGAGTGCTCTGCAAAGCTTAACGGTGCATGTACAGGATGTTTAGACATCTAGATCTTGGAATAGCGCCACCTACAAAGTACAACTGTTAAGAAAACTTGGCAGAACAGCACATATTCACTTTTCAGAAATGATAAAGAGCAACCATCATGGTAGTTTTTCTTTGTAATTTTAGAACCAACCAACTCTACATTTATTGGATAGCTTTGTTTTAAACCATATAGGAGAAATGAGATCCACTGGGGATAGGAGGTGGAGGATTAAACGCACTCCAATTCCAGCTTCCATATGTGAATATAATGCTTTTAAGATGCAATTTACTGTGCCTTTGTAGGAGTGAATGGGATTAAAAGTTTAGAATCTTTTCTCTGTCCTGAGATGCATTGCATAGTATAATAAAAATGGGTCTCACCATGGCTGAGGTGTACATCTGCTGTTCGGGTCCCACTCTGAAAAACTCCAAGGGGATGGGGGATTGGAGAGTGGGAGGTGTGTGCCATTTTCACAGACTTCAATATGATGGTGCCTCCTAGGGTGAAGTAACATACAAGTTACAGAGGAGACCCTGGTCCACCCTGGCTGAGAATAATTTTAATGTGTTAACTATTTTAGCACACTATGACTGTGACCACCTCACATGCTTGGTCCCAGGAATGTTCCAATATGGGACATGGCCCTAAGAGTGTTTATCATTTCTTGAAAATGTGAACTTCATATCAAAGTCATCTGCTTAAACAGGGGTTTTCAGTTACTAGTGTTTCTATTATATTTCCAGTGAGGATTGTTTGATGAGTGGCAATTGGGCTCTCTCTAGAGATTTTAGTGTATTTAATTGAGGGTGTTACCAGACCTCTTACTTGAATGTCTTCTAGAAAGAAGTGAAGAAATAGTTTTGATGTGTAGTGTGGGGAGAGTATAATTTCAGGGAAATGAAAACATGCCCAAGAATGAAAATGTCAAAAGATTAGAATTTCTCATTCCCTCACAGATTCAGAATACTGGGGAAAGAGTGAGACATTTCTAATTGGGAAAACCACGGGGATATAGATAAGAACACATCATATGTCGGAGGCTGGAGGGCAGGGAGAGAGGACGAGGTAATGAGATAGGCATAGAGAAGATTACCCCATAAAGAGAAACATATAATTCCAAAATTTCTCCAACCCAGATAAAGTTTAGTGCTTCCTTTCTACCTCCTCTCCAGGGTCTCCTCATTGGTTATCTCTTCATTCTCTGCTGTTTCAACGTCTTTTTACCTGCTGTTTGCACACAGGATATAAATATGCTCTGGCCACTTCCATTTTTGCAAAATTCTTATTTTAACTGTGCAGTGCTCTATAGCTACTGCCTCGTTTCCTTCCATGCCCAGTTAAGCTACTGACAGAACACTCAACATTTTCTGCCTCCACTTTAGCACTTCACATTTATTCCTTAATTATTTTTTATTTTTATTAAAGGAATTCATATACATAGTTAAAATATCATCTAGTGCTAAAAGACAATGAAGACAGCTATTCCTCACCTTTTCTCCCTTATCCCTGCTTTTTCCCTGGAGAAAACCACTTCCAACTCTTAGCTGTTTGTTCTATCTCCATATTTCTAAATAATGTGCTGTCCTCTTTTTTTTTCTTTTGGCACCTGGCCAGTACAGGGATGGAATCTTGGACCTTGGTGTTATCAGCACCATGCTCTAACCAGTTGGGCTAACACACCAGCCCTTTGACTTTTTATTTCTAGATTTTAGATATCTTTTATCTTCCTATTATCACCTTAATGGCTGAAGATCTAGCCCTCTCACTTGTCCCCTCTGCTTCCCTACTCTGTTTGAACTGGTTGTCCTCTAGGTCTGCTGTGTAGCTGTTGTCCTTTTGCCTATGTTGAATCCTCTATTTCTCTGATTCTTTATCTTCTACTTCTTTTATCTATCTATCTATCTATCTATCTATCTATCTATCTATCTATCTATCTATCTATCTATCTATCTATCTATCTATCTTTTGAAGTACATCTTCCAGTAGGTTCTACAGAGAAAAATCTTCCAGTAGCTTCTTTGGGCAGGCTATCTGCATTCTGGGAACAGGTCAGAGGAGGTGAGATGAGAATCTCACGGTCCAGTGTGTAAACTTTTCACCCTCTGCATTGAATCTATGCTGCCCATTCTTGTGTCTATGTCTGGAACTTCTTAGGTCATTTTTTCCAGAAAATAAACCTCTATTCTCTGGTAAGGGTGAGAGTAGAGTTGGGTTGCGCTCTTTTCCCTCAATGATTAAGACATCTAATCTTTGATTCTCCTTTTACCTCCCTGACTGCTCTGCCTCAGTCTCCCTTACTGGCTGCTTATTTTATGCATACATGTTAAGGATTGATGTTCCCCACGTCTATCAAAAGCCATTTTCCTACTCTACGTGCTTGCTCTGATTATTTTACATACTCTCATGGCTTCAATTATCACCCATATGCTGATGACTCCCAAGCCTCTATCTCCAACTTAACTCATCTAAAAACCATTCTCAACACCTTCCCATTCCTCTTCCAAGTCTTCTCCTTCTCTTACTACTCTCTACCTGACCTACCCATCACCCAAGTAGAAACCTCGTAGACACCTAGGTCCCTCCTTCTTCATCAGCCCTCAAGTGGACTCATTCAGCAAATCCTGGTTATTCTAACCCCACCTTTCTCCAGCAGCCAAACACACCTTTCTATTTCCCCCACTCCTGCCTAAACTGCAGCTTTAATTACTTCTCATCTGGGTTACTTCAATTCCCTCCTAACTGGTCTCATAATCTCCAGCCTCAAAACTCTTGAAAAGCTCACCAGTTAGCTCAGTTGGTTAGAGCATGGTGTTATAACACCAAGGTCAAGGGTTCAGATCGACATACCAGCCAGTTGCAACAACTACAAAACCTCTTGGATTCATTTCTCATTCTATTTTCCAAAGTGCAAGTTGATCTATTTGAAAATCTTCCAAGACTTCTCATTACCTACAGACTACAATGCCAAC